AAACTATTTTGCTTCTTCTTATCTATTTATATCTATTGTCTCGCGTTCCGCGTGTCGCAATGTGTTTCAGGTTTCTCGGTAACGGAATCCTCGCGTGGAAAGACGTCGGAGGCATTCGATTCGGGCTGCTTTACTTCTACCAGGATTTAAATATTACATTGCCTTTCCGAGAAGGGAACTACAGCAGTTTCGATCTACTTCACTGTCACGTGAAAAAATTCAAACCGAATCTAAATCTTTAAATGTTCAATAAATCAGGGAAGAAACCCGACAGAAAAGAAATCGCTGTTTAATTGTAATTACGATGTTAAATCGAAAATGCGAGCGTAGAATGTTGAAGAATCTTTTGAAACGAAAATGAAGACGGTTCGCGAGGTTGTCTCGCGCAGAGAGTTCACCGGCGAGGGACGAGAAGACTCGTTGGTAAGACAGTCAGGACCCGGGACAATAGGGAGGGTAAAGCTTTTTCAAAGGGAAAGAAGAACGGGGATAGGTCGAGGACCGAGTAATATGCAGAAGGTCTCGACCATCCTTTGATTTTAATAGATCGGACCCCAGCCGTTATAACACTTTAATGAATAGCCGTCTATCTTAACGCGGCTCTAATGCGAAATCAATATCTAATTATCTTTCACCGCGACGACGGCCCTTTCTGCCTTTTCGTCGTTCATTTTCAACGATCCCAGAAAAAAAAAAAAACTACTACTCCTGGAATCGCGACCTGTAATTGCTGCTCCCCCCCCTTTAATTTATCAATGATAATTATTACAATCGAGATACGCGCTGATAATTATCAATTAAAATAATCGACTCACACCGTTCGTTATTAACACTAGATTGCCCAATGAAGTAANATATACTAAGTTTCAGTCTTTCTAGTGTTAAATCTGAATCCCTCGGAGACGGTATCGGGTCTCGCTAATATTATAACGTGTAGCGTTCCATGGAACACAGATCGTAGAAAACGGATAGTCCCCCGTTGTCGTCGTCGTCGTCGGTGGCGACGACCCTTCATCGGTTTAACGTCGGCGCGAAAAGTACATGCATACGAGGCATTCGATCGGACACGCAGACAAAGCCACGCACGCACATACTCGAGAGGAAGTAACCGACGCGTCCTTAAGCGGCCTTCCGGCACCCTTCCTTTCCGGGTCACCCGTTACCCTGACGAGGGAGGTTTCATAATTGAGGACTAATTGTCGCTCCGCGGCCACGGTACGCCGCTCCAACCGAATGAGAGGGAGCGAAATAAAGAGGCTAAAAGCCGGGCTGGGAACACCCTTGGGGAGGATTCCGACCGCTGGTTAGGTCGATGACCAACTTTCGGTACCTCGTGACGTACCACGAGTCTCAAGACATGTAAGACGTATCGCGAGTTTCAATGAACAAGCGACGATTTTCTACATTTCGATCAGTCGAGATGTTCAGGATTTGGACGTGCTTAATTTAGCATGAATTACGTGATATCTAATTTTTCTCAAAAATGGACTTAAACCACTTTCAAAATAAACGGTCCATTTATTGCTTGGCGACGATTGCGTGAATAAATAATGATTCATCAATACCTCGTTTCGCTCGGTTGAGAAATGCTAGAACGAAGATTGTTACGTGTACTGGAGCCACGCAGTTTGTACGACGGCTTTCTACGAGCATCGAGCGCGGTTAAAAAGTGTCAAGTCAGGAAGCCGAGGGTGGTGAAACGATTTCCTCATAAGCTCCATTAATTATCGACGGCTCGACAGCGTGCATCGCTGACTAGATGTACGAGTAAACCTTTCAACGAACGCATTTTTTCTGTCTCGTCTCTTGTATAAATTGTGATTAATAAATGAATCGCAAAAGATGTTCGCATTATTATTTCACGACACCAGACCGAATGAACAATTCAGAAGAACTAGAAAAGATTAGGATTTCTGCATTCTAAATTGTATACNCCAAAGACATAACACTGTCTGAAACATTTCTTGTATCTAACAGACATACTTCACATATACTCACATACTACAGCCATAACTTCTGTTAGAAGCATTTTTAGAAGCCATTTAATGTACACTAAGAAAAACAATTAATTTACTTTAGCTGCAATAGAAGACGAACGATTGGAAAATTCGATAATCTCGAATAATTAAAATATAAGTCGTGAGACCCGAATCATAGATAATAGTAAAGCTAGCCTGGATTAAGATTCTTCGCGCAGGAAGTTATATAGTTAAATTATTTTAAATGCACACTTGTGAAACAATTCTCGCGAAATGGGTTAGAGAGGATGTTTAATCCGGTAGGAAACATCCGGTTCGCGTGCTCGATCGCGCGTAATGCGCCACGGCACGGCTGTAACGAGCGACGTCGCAGCGCAATGCCGAGTTTTCGCGGAAGCATGCAAAATATTCGCGGCTGCCGTCACGCGGGTTACGCGGAAGCAACGTAAACCAGGCTTTCGGAAACCTATTTCTAGTCGAGAGCCAACCCTTGCTTATGGAAATAATACCCGCGTCCAATCGGAAGCGTCTTTTACGACCTCGACTCTATCCACCCTCGGTTCAATTAGTGATTTACATCAGGAATAACAGTAGGGAACTCTGCAGTGCTCTGGCACACCAGGAATTAATTACAAAATGCATTTCTTATACGTCGAGGTTCCACTTCTTCAGAAATCGACTGCATTTCTCATTCAATGTTCCACAGACTGACTCGTGCATTTTGTACAGGGCAGACAAATTGAGAACAAAATTCACATTGTATCGAATTCACATGTACAGCTATATAGTAACAACGAAATTGAGCCAGCTACGTGCATGTGTTAGTCTCCCTTAGGGGGACAAAATTCAAAAATGTTAACGTACGCACATTACCAGCACCTACATTAAAATTCTTTTTATTTTCACGCGTCAAAATTATAATAAAATCCAACAGCACCGACCAGATCAAGCATCTAAAAAATAAGATGTATACTTATTACTCGTTTTGAATTTTGTCTTCCTAGGGGAAACTAACACATGCACGTAGCTGGCTCAATTTCGTTGTTACTAGCTGTACTTACATAAGGATAACATGTGACCTGGCGGTTTGAACCCGCGTCCCTCGATGCAACTGATCGACTGAATCATTTGGCGTTCATAATTTTTGTAACTATCAACGGGAATTGCAGAAGTGGTTGAGAGAACGTTTCGACGGTAGGAGGAAAAGTTTTACGTGTCTGACCGCGTAGCCGACCTAAACGACATCGTATAATATTTTAATGACATCATTAGTGGAATTTAAAGAAACTTGTCCGCGAGCCACTTCGCCCGGCGATCTCGCGCTAGTTTTATTCCTCATTTCGCCCATTCTCGTTACACTCTCACGTCGCTATGGTATTTCCGTCGAGCGCTCTCACGCATTCACTACGTATTCGCTGCTCTTGTGTCGAAGTTGCAGAAACTATTTGAAATAACTCCACATCGGAATACGAATTTACATATTCGTAGAAAAGTTGTATCCTGCAAAATGAAACAGTGACGAAATTGAAATATAATTCTGAGAAAAATTCGTACAGTTTCCCAAGGTTTTCCGTGGAATTCGTTTAGAAATGATCACCGGAATAGATAGAATCTGCAGTTCGGCCGGTTTCTAGTTGGCCAAATAAAGCGGTCGCGTTCTTATCTCTTTCAATTGTCCCGGTCGTTCCCGGTTACGTCTGAGCGACCCTCGCGGCTCGTGAAACTTAATCAACAACGTCGGGGGCTCGCGCGCACGGTTTAATAAAGCGTAAACGCGGCAGATAATAAAGCGAAATAATAGATCGTGAAATCTGCGGGCCGGGGACGACGGAAACGTTTCCACCGCTCGTTCGAGACGAGACGATGGAAAAAAGCGATGACGTCTAGGCTCGACGACGCGCGTCGTGCCACCGCCTTTTCTTTCCTCCTCGCCATTGTCTTCGCCTTTCCGTTCAACTCGGGCGCACACCGCTCGTTTTCAAAAGCCGTGTTAAGCATCGTCCTCGATCCGACATCTTCCCAAAAGTTTCGCCTTGTTATTAATGAATAACAGTCTCACGTTTTATGTTTCACGTTGAGTCATCTTCCCAAAACTTGCTGACGTTATCACATTATTACAGCGAATTTCTAACAGCGACATGCACAGTGCATGTTTAATTAAAGGATTCGAGGATGAATTCCTATCTGCGTTTCTTCAAATCGTTTAAAAAAAAAAAAACGAATAAAATCCTGATTAGCGTTGTTTGATTTTTGTTTAAAAACCCTCTGGATGTATCGTGGAGTAGAATGGAAAACGCGTAATGGCAACCTGCCGGATATTTGTGGGCGTGAGCGTGACAAATATATACGTATATGATAAAAGCCGAGCTGTTCCGCTCCGTATCTCTCTATCCCCTGCCACCCCGCGCCGCGTATATTGATTTATAACTGGGCCGATACACACGCCGCTGTACATCGGAACGCTGTGTTTCGATTTCCGCGTGTAACGCGTTCATCGAAAATTTGATATTTCACTTGGAATATCAATAAGGATATCAAAACCAAAAATGGACCACCGCACCCGGTAAATCTCGCCCGGTGAAAATATGCGGCTATCAAATCCGTTTCTCAGCCGATCAAGACCAAGAATTCCGGATTTTGCGAAACGGGAATACGTTTGATAAAATGTATAAAAAAAAAAAGATTAGAATTGCAAATGTTATGATAAACCGTGGCTGTGCTATCGCGCACGTATTTCAAAAATCGTGGCAATGAACGAGTTTTATAAAAAATCTCGTTCCCTGAATTTAATCAGATAATACAGAAACTGCTTGTTTGTTCTTTTAATAAAAAATAATCCAGCAATTCTATGATTCATTCTGTATACTTACACAGACTATTTCCTATAGCATGTTACGCTCAATTTTCTATAAGTGCACATCAGTTTTGTGTAAAATCTCCAGGGGAACGTTTGCGAGATACATGCGCGATATTGAGGGACACGAGCCCGGCGGTTGTGGCTTGTGCTCGCACTCACCTTTCTGCGGCCGCAGCAGAGCATGGCTGCTGCGCTGCAGCTGCGGCGAGCCGTCGACGAGAGTTGAGGCTGATGACAGACGTAGCTGAGCCGTGCGCCCCCTTCTCGCTGCAGCTGCACCACGCGCACCTGCCGCTGCACCTGCTCCCGATCCCGATTCCGCTCCCGCTGCCCTTGACCGACACCGACTCGACCACCGTACTTGATGCGCACGTGTTTTCGCCACTGCATGAGTTCGGTGCGTCATGCCCTCTTCCTGCAATCGAAATCCACGACAATGAATCAAGTGTGAAATCAAGAACACAGACTTATGAGAACAGGACAAGTACCTGATTGAGTGAATGAAAATGAATGGAAGAGTTCCTTTCTTAATAAATGATAACAGAGAGCAACTCCACCAAAGCATGTCTTCTCTCTCTTTTACGAGGTCAACAAAAATACATTAGACTCTCGGTCTGCGACTAAGAAAAGATCTTCGTTTGCTTTGAGTAAATCAAATAGTCTGAACATTTTTATTAAATTCTACGAAAAGCAATTCTGACCACCATAAATGGTGAACTTAAAGGAAATGACATTTGCAATCGTTATCATGATTTTATGTTTTGTAAGTTACTTAGGAAATATTGAAAACTTCGTTACTGGTTCAAAGACGATTAAATCAGTTTCTTAGGGAACCTAACCGCAGGGATTAATAAACCGGGGATCGGAATTCCGAAATCTTTGCACTTACACGTAGCTATCAAAAGCAATAAACGTTGAGTAACGTCGTCGCTAAAAGGGTGTACCGGACCGTGTTGGATGTCGACTAATGGACTTTGTTAACAAAGCAGCTACTAGTTGCAAATTTTTGTTTAAGCTAAGGACCTCGCGAAACCAGGACGATCGATCGACACTGCGAGCCATGCTAAAATTCGATTTAAAAAACGGCTGTAGATTCGAAGAGCTCCGCGTTTAATTTTGTTAATCCATACCACTTGGAGCTTCGAAAATTCATTTATTTTCGATAACGCACGCTCTTGATTGATATTCATTCGGATCAAGCACGGTTAAGTCAATTTCGAATAAAAGTTGATTATGATTTTCGCTAAAGCCAGTCTTTTTTTTTCACAATTTTACTGATTCTACGATTCTCGTTAAAACAGAAAAATATTGTAAAACGCATTTAATTCGAAGCTCATCGGCTCTTCCTCGAGGAACGTAGAGACCAGGAGATACATTCCATCTTCGAGCACGTCGTTACGTTCGATGTTAATTAATGAAACTCAATTTAATTACGGTGCGACGCGTTATTAAGGGAAAAAAAATTGGTTTCGAATTGGACGAACGCGAGGAAGGTAAGTTCCGATAATCGATCAGCGTTTATTTTGCGAACAACGAGGAACGCGGAGAAAGGGAAAGACACCCGGCGAGCCGAGGTGGAAACGAGGCCGGTCGTATCGCGTGCCAAATTAAAATCACTCGATCATTTGGGAACCGTCGGATGGATACCGGCCATTAATAAATTAACACGGCCCCGGTATCGACTGCGCCGAGATAAAGTTATTTAGGTCGACCCCTGTCCAATACCGGCATATTTGCTTTAACACGTACATCCCTGTTCACAAATTTCTCTATAATCCAATGAGACATCACACAAACGCATATGAAAATTCCTCATGGCTCAATAAATGATTAAAAGAAGACATTTCGCAACTACATTATTCCTTGGATAAATGTGAAAAAATCCTACAGGTGAACCGTGACTTTTTTTTTTCACAAAGTTTTTTAATCTCGTTTTCCTGATTAAAATAACACACGCGCAATCATGTGGCAAAAAAGAGCTTTACACATTGCGTGAATACTTTACGTTTTAGAATGCTTGTACAAAAGTTATTCAATAATCGACGACGAGGATTCCAGGAATGGTTCGAAACGAGTCGTATCACAAACTGGTAGATAAGGACGAAACGGAACACCGCACGGAGAGGAGCGAGTAACCGTAACCGAATAATCGATCGCACGTGGCTGAGCGCAATCACAGTTGACCTAGGGCCACCACGGAGAGTTATGCCAGGAATCTCATAAACGGCGTCCATCGCCGGCCGAATGTCTCGGTCTTCGATTCAATCGGGGTTACTATTCATACGAGACATTCTGCAATTCTGTGTCAAGCTGCCGCGAGCGGCTCATTAAGAATCAATGAAATCCTGAACGACGGGCGCGCGCGGCCCATGCAAGCTCAGCCGTGAGAGCCCCGTGTCGCAACCTTGACCCCTGACTTCTAAAAAGGGGAGTTGGCCGGCCCCTGGTGAACAATTTGTTGGATAATCTAGCTTTTGACTCGCTCCAGGCAATTAGTAACTCGCGCCGGTAATTAGAGAACCGAATTAACCAGTAAATGCGCTGTGCTTAATAAATAGACTGCGCGCTTTATGCATTCACTATGCGAAAATATAAATTATTTAAACAGCCGAGGGAATTGGATTACGTTTCAGAAATTGATACGTCGAAGTTTCATCTCGCAAGAAAATACAAGAGCGATTATAGAAATATCGAGCATCGATTACAATCGCTTTAATGATCGTGGCGATTGGGGGTCCTCGTTCGCAAGGGGCAGGCAAACTCGTATTTCCAGCGTAATTTATAACAATTCTCTTGGTAAACTAGAAAACACGAAAGACAGCAACGGAGATCTTTTACTTGTCGTGTATGTCGATAGGTTTATTTACCTTCTAAAAATCATTTCTCGCGCGAAGGGCCGACGGGTCCCTGCTCGAGCTGGCTCGGTCGACTTCTCTCATTCTGGTCAACAGCTCACCCTCCTCCCCGCTCTTCTGTAACAACAACGATTGCAATCACATTAATTGGTGATCGTACCGTCAAATAAATTATTCGATTATTCAACAAAATCGTTATCAAAGTTGTTTCAGTATCTATTCTGTAGATTATCTAGCCTGCCTTCCAAAGTTCTACTATATCTTGATTTCTTAGCGACGAAGCTTTAAAGATGCGAGGGTTGGGCGTCCGTCGGCGAGCTTCCGTGGGGTTTCGTGGGGCTTGCCGATGCACACCATCGAATCTCGCTTACAAAGAAAGATTCACCATACACGTGTATAATCAGATTAAAATAAAACTTCGATAACGATTTAAGTAATAATTACACTGATGTTCCCTGAAGAATTCCATTTCCAACCTAACCTAACCTAACTTAACATACATTTCATGAACGTTCAAGGATTGCGGATAAGAAATCTTTTATAGTACAGAAACGTGAAGTGTTTCGTTTCTCTATTTTAATCAAAGAAGATATGGAACAAAAGATAGTAGGAATCTTTTGTGAGTAAACGTTCGACGATAAAGTATTACAGACCCTGGAGTCTCGGGCCCATAGGGAAACTTTATCGTTTAAGCAAAGGAGCTTTCAATATTGAATAAAGCTTACTGAAGGATTCCCGTCGATCACGTATCCTTTTCTCTTATTCCCCACGACAAGCCGCGCGATAACAGTCTATTCTCGGGAGATGAAAGAACCGCGAAGTGAGCGACGAACGACTGCACACGCTTCTCGAACGGCACGGCACAGAGACACAGAATCACTCTTATTTCACACGTTTCTCAACCGCACGCGTCTCAATCGACGAAATTTCTTCTTTACAGTTGAGAAAAATGTTCTCCACGTGCACGCGAGGATTAACTACACCGACTCACGCTCAAGCATGACCTAACAACGTCGTACACGCCACTTAACGCCCGGCACGATTCCTCGTCCTCTGACTCCACGGCGAAGGAGCGTCGACTTCAACCGACCTACCGTCGCGCCGGGGTGGCGAACGCGTTCTCAAACTGCGCGAAGAGACCTCCCTGTCTCCCGTGTCTGTGTGTGCCGTCGTTAAATAAAACGGGGAGAGCCCGGTACACACTGCGCAAAATCTTTCGTCGTAAGGACGGTTCGATCGCCCGCTCGTTCGGTCCATGTGATATCAGTCATCTGGATGATACACTGCCATCAAACCGATCATTTTCCACGGACAGAACCCATAAACGTTGCTCCAACGAGCATCGCTCGGCTGTTTCCCGAGTCATGAATAAACTACGAATTTTAATATAAATCATGTCGATTTAAAAAACGGATTTCATTTATACCAACACGCGTTATAACGACTCATACGAAATAATATGTATTTTAATGATTCGTCGCGAAATTCGTAATGTATTTTAATACGACGATCAATTAGCGTTATGATTCATGCATACATAATGATACGCATTTTAACTATTCATAGTGTGCCGTAGGAGAAAATATTGCTTCGAGCTTGATTGCACTGAACGCGTTCCGGCTAGAATTGTATACGCGGTTAAAGAATCAACGGGACATTCAACTGGTTCCTGAACTTCGTTGCCCGATCCCGCTTTCCGTTCTATCGATCCCGAAGACACGAGGGGTGTCACTCGTGGCAATGAAGAAGCACCAGGCTTGCAAACGAGGAAACAAAAAGGCCGACTGACCAATCGATCTCGTCGCCTTTTACTACTTCATTAAACCGTTATTCTCGTCCGTATTTGGGTTAAGTGCTGTACCATGGGTGTTCTACAGACCTAACCCATTTCAGAAACAATTATTTCGTCCAGGACGAATCAATAAACTAGAAGGACGCATTAATTCGATGAATCGCGTCAAATTAAAAGTTCCTCCAAGAGGCGTAAGTATAGATAATTAATTAATTAGTCTGATTATTCATCCTGTATATAAAATATCTCCCTCGACTTAATTCATGTAGGAAGACCGACGCACTTTAAGAACGCCGTTGCAGCGTGCAAGTAGTTCGATTCCGGCGCAGCGTGAAGGGATTATCATGCACGAGTAAAAACGTATACGGATATAGGTGTACCGGCCGTAACGATGCCATTATCTTCAAAGAAAGTTATAGAAGGTGGTGGGAAGTAAAGCTATTTACACGCCGCACCGCGTTTCGCCCTAAGGGTGTCGTTATTCTAATTATGGATTACACCCCGTGTCCGAGTCGGTTGCAGAAGGTAGGCCCGTGAAAAACTACCACCGAAACGTATCTGAAAATAGCGTAAAAATATCTTCAAGACCGTGGCGAGTAATAATGAATGTTCGTATTTTAGAATCGTTCTGATAAAGAGGATTTGAAGTCGGAAACCGCTGGGTGTATTAGTCGAGGACGGAGTTAATAAGATTCGAAAGAGGGTGGATGGGTGGGAGCGAGTCCAACTGTGAAAAATAGATGCGAGGAGGGTCGATAAGGCGGCAATGGACGGAGAAGAAGCTCGTGGGGCGCAATTTCGGATCGTACGGCACCGTGGCCGGGGCCTGGATCGATAAGGGATACGTTTAAGAGCGATAGTTAACAGGAGCAACGCAGCAGCCCGACCCCCGTATATCTCTACGCTTTATTCGACGAGGAGACGTCTGTCGAGTGACACCTGTCAGCGAACGGTTCACCACGGGCGAGACTTAAAATAACGAGAGGGTAAAAGCTGTAACAAGAAAACTGGGGTATAGGAACGAGCGAAGAGCGAGACAGTGGAACGACGACGGGAAGTAAGTCGCCGAGTGGAGATCGATAGAAGTATGAAAACGGGAGGAGAGTAAATTAAAAGTAACATCGGGAGAAGTACGAAACGACGTCGAGCGTCAAAGATAAAGCAGGAATTACCGGGTGAAGAAACTGTAACGTCGAGACATAAATCGACGAAGCAGGGCGAACAAAAAAAAAGGAAAAACTGGGTAACGAAGTAGATTGTATGAAGAAACCAGACACGAACCCGGAGGGTGGAGAAAAATACCGCGTGCGGGTGGAAACGGGAACGAAAAGAAAAAAAAAAAGGAAGGAGTAACGGAACTGGGTAGCGGTCTATAGACGTGCACCGAAGAGAGGGTTCAGAGACCGAAGCGAGAAACAAAGCGGTGCGGCGCGCGGAGGAAAAACCGAATAGGAGGAAGGAAGAGGTGAAGGAAGGAAGAAAAAAAAAAAAAAAAAAAAAATGAGAGAATCGGGTATACCGAGTGCGGAGCGCGAAGCAACCCGAAGAAAGGACGAAGAAAGGGAAGAGGGTCGAGCGAAGCACGATTTCGTGGTGGCGTGGCAGAGCCAATGGTCCCGGACCAGCGGATCGATATACCCTTTTTCGAGAGTGCCTTCAACCGACCCTCCCTCTATATACTCGACGTCGTACACACGTACACGAGCGGGCATACCCGCGCACGGACGCGCGTACACGCGTACATAAACATCGCCGCCCTCCGTTCCACCCTCTCTACGGCTGGAAGACGCGGTTAAACGTCTCCAGCGTTGAATGAATCGAACCGACGGGCCAGTCATGAAATTGGTACAACGTACCTTACGCAGGTCGCAGCTCCGAAGACCCCCGAGGAGTTCCCAAATATTCCCTTCGCAAACTGAGGAGTCCCTTTTCACGAGCGGCGAAGAAGGGAAGCGCGGCACGAGTCTTCCGGTTGCAGCTTTCTCACCTCACCGTATAAACGCCACGCGGGAATCAATACGCGCGCCTGCCTCAAGCTTCTCTCCCTCTCCCGCTATGTCTATCTCTCTCTTTTACCCTGTCTATCTCTGTCCCTCTACGACGCGATTCTACTACTCTGCCGGAGCACTCTGATCGTAAACGCGGTTTCAGTCCAACCGGCAACTGGTACGGAAAGTCCGCGTGCCGGGAAACGCACGAGGAAGATCGAAGACGAAGAAACCGAAGAGAACACGTCGGGGGTGGGCCACGTTTCGCAGAGAAAGACCGAGCGGCCTGCGGCGATCAACCGGACACGCGTCGCGCGGCCAAACGAGGAGGAGCACGAGGATATCCGAGGTGACGACGCACGGTGTGCAACGCACCGCGCCGCATAACCACGACTACCTGGAGAGCACCCGGGCGGACATGTTGGTCGGTGGCACTGCGCACACGCACGCCCCGGCACCTCGCCGCCTTCTTCTAGTCCACCGTGTGTATAGCGTATACTATGTACCGGCGGCCGCGGCCGGCCAGAGCCACTCCAGACGCTACGCCTACGCCGAAGCCTGAATCAATTTTTACGCCGGCTACGTACTCGATCTTCCCTTTCGACTTTCGGCTCAAAGGATTTCAACGGCCAGCGACGATCGACCAACGGCTGCGATTTTATTTCGGTCCCGGAGCCCTCGTTAGCGTTCCTCCGAGCCTCTCAAAGTCTCTCGAGATGACGATTTAGTTCAATGGCGTTTCGGGGGTGATTAACCCTTGGGAACCTCGCTATAAGTTACGTTCCATTGGTATCCCGCTGATTCCACGCTTCATTCTTCCTCCTCTCTAACAGACAAACCCGATATAGTAAGACGTTCAACGTGCACTATTTTACAAACGATACCGTTTGAAAAAGAGTTTAGGAATCTGTTCTTCGGAGACGAGATTCGAATGATCACGACGCTGGAATTTAATGGGTTTGTCGATTCGCCTGAATCTCAGTTATCCGAGCTTTTGGATTTTTTCCTGCCACGGTGCAACAGGTTATTCGAATGCTTTCGCGAATTCTTTGTTCCCGGAATGATTCAGTTCTGTCCGACCGAGCGGAAGCTCGCGCAACGTTCCCAGCCCCGTCGACCGAAAGTAATTAGTTATGAAACACGACTCCCCATGTGGATGATCGAAGGGGCCGCGATAAGGAGCCGGCTCCCGTTTCAAACAATTTTCCAATCAGAGGCCAATCGGTCGAACATTATTTCGTACACGTTTCAAATTTATTTATAGTTCTTATGGTCCGTTCCTGCTGACACATTTTCAATAAAACAGAGCTGCTTCCTGTTTTAAATTCCTGGCCTGGCATACGAGCATAGAAACATTCAGTATCGAATATCAATTAATCTAACCGAATCTCCTTGGCTAACACGCCGGAGCCATTGTCTTACGCTCGAGCGAGCTCGCGGCGCAAATTATGGTTCAAACGTGGCAGCCACGAGTCGCATTACCAATACAAATTATTCTGTTACACAGAGACAAAAACCCGATCTCTATTTACATCTCTTTGGTAAAATATCGCAGCAGTAAAAGGTGAGTTTTTATTATAAAATTGAACTATTGATCACTTAAACTAATTCCCCAAGAATTTTCTATGCATTATAAAATATTCATATCAAAGATGAAATGCACTTTAGTATTTTAAATATTACTGCAGGTCGACGTAAATAAAAATCGAAGTGGAGTTTTGCTACTGAGAAAATGACGTTGATGCAAGGAGACAATAAGGAGAGCTCACGTATCCCATTGGTTCGATGAGCATCGTTTCGCGTGGAGGACTATTTACAGCGAGCGGGAAGAAATTTAATAAAACCTGAGAAAGTCGCGGAAACCGACGTAGCATACGTTTGTGCCGTCGCCGAGACGGCGAAGACGCGACGGGCGGGAGAGAGGCGCGGCGGAGAGAAAAATTTCATCGTCTGCGTGCAGTGCGCGAGGGTTCGACAGCCTGTGAACGAGCAGGAGCTAGGAACTCGTCGCACAGTGGCACAGAATCAATTTCCCACCCGAATCTACGCGTTCATAAGTCTTACAACATGTTCCAATATGTATAACACAATCACGGTCTAACATTCATGATTCGTTGCACGATTTCTTGTATGATTCTTCCATTTAGTAAGAAACGGCGTTTGTATTCCAGTTTTAAATAAAATGTAATATTCCGCTTAAAGATAAATTATGACGATTTACGTTTCGCAATTTTAATTTATCTACCTTTTGCATTTTTTATATTGCAAGAACGCTGATTGCCTGGACCGTTGATCTTCTTCTTTACGTTGCTCTTCTTTCTTGTCTCTTTTTCTTGATCGCAATCAGCTGGCAATTGTCATGCTTTCATTGCGGACGACCACCGTTACACCCTTAACCCTTCATTTCACGCCGATTCAACGTTCAAGCACCTAAGAAATTTCAGATCATAATAAACGAAATCATTTACGGAATAATACTCGAACAATAAATAAACGAAATGTATAAAAATATACATCGAAAGTGATATAACATTTATAAAGAATATAAAAAAATGCCTGTCCTATTTTCTAAATGAATGTTCCATAAAAATCGGTAGTTTAATTATAGAGAAATTTTATTCTCGTTTTTCAACGATCCTTACAGTCAGACTCAGTGTGAGCGGAAGAGAGTGGATCGGGGTACGTTAATAACGACGAGGATCGGAGAAGAGTCTCCAGCGGACGTCCAATAAAACAGGCTGTGCGAACAGCGTTGAAATTTATTCAGGATCCGAGGCTGACCGCCGCTCCGTGACGAGCAATTAAACGCAAAAACGAGAGGGGATGATGGGATCACCGAAGAAGATCGATGGAAGTTACTTGTCTTTCAACGGGGTGTATCGGTTTCACTAGAAAGCCTAAACGCGAAACGAGATCCACCTCGCCTTCCGCGTAACCGAACACGATTTACTACATAAATGCACGTTTTAAATCTCCTTCGTGCACCTATTCGCAAAAAGCTCTCTCCAGCGATCGGAAATACTAATCAACGACGAACGAATTAATGATAGAATTTTCAACAATAATTCATTCGTCAGCAGATTCTTTTTTACGTCGACAACAAAATAAGCTATGAAGGAACGGGGACAAGTCTAAATCCCCGTTCGATCAACGTCGACGATTCTCTTCGGTTTCAATTAATTCTTAAGCAGAAGAAGCCCCTCGGCAAAGTAATTCTCGTAAGGGAGACTGTCTTATCGTCGGAAATTTGTTCGAGTGATTCGCAGCGTGTAGGCTACGACACGATCCAAAGTTAAGTCCCTCTACCCTACCACCCGCGCTCTATCTGTGCGTTGTCATTCCCATCGAATCGAGCCTAAGCGTCCCACTTCCGGTTCGGCTATTCTGGCCTGGATCGATTCGAGGGACCGCCTCGTGTCAAAAACACTCGGCAGAAAGACGCCGCCGGCTCGTCGATTCGAGGCCGGATTCTCTCCTCTAAGTACGTGCATACATACGCACTAGTAGAATCATAAATTCCACGTTACGGAATCCACGAGCGATTCAATTCATGCTCTTCGACCTTCCACAGAGTCTCATTGAAAACTCGATGCATTATCCTTTGAATCACTAAAAAAAATCGTGCAGTGATACTCGAATTTCAATCGCGACACGTCTTATCGATTTTAGAGCACTCCGTTCTATTTTCTAGTTTTATTTCGTTCGCCCTGGGATTTCCGTTATCCTCGCAGAGGCGTTTCGCGTCCATGATCCCGGGTTAATCCGTCTCGTTAAGAATCGCGAGAGACTTAAATAAATCTGGATGCACCGCGCAACGCCGGCCCTGCCACTCGACCTGGAGTACGATGCTGTGATTGGACGGCATTTGAATGAATGCTATCCGGCATTCACACCCTTTTTTCAGCCCCTTCCTTTCAGCGGGCGACCGACCCTTGATGAAACCACCTCCCCCCCCCCCCCCCCTCCCGATGTACTCTCGAGGGTTACGGTGGTTGACACGCGAGCACACGTGTGCCTACCACGTCACGCATACGAGCCGCCAGGACCGTGCCTACGTGTTAAACCGTAAAATCACGACCACGATTGTCCCTGACTCTATTCTATATGAATACATTTAGAAACAGTATTGAACTAAACGCGCGATCTACTCGTAAATAGTGATAAAACGAAATATGCTCACCGAATAGGAAAGTTTATCCAATCTCGAAAGCGGCGACAAACGCTGTTAATCCGTGAGCAATTTAATTGTGTGTAAACTTTCGGATTACTCGAACGCTCGGGAATCTTGGAGATTTCTGAAGCAGCCTGTAATCTTGATGAATTTAAGAGGGGCTGCAAACTTTACCCGTAGAGGAGCTAATTTCGCAACTCCGCGTTTTGACAAATAAATAATCGCCGATAAGATCGTTTACTCTCGAGAATATAGTTGGAAACTTTTTGGTAAGCTTAAAAATCCGCTCGGCGTGTCTCGTTAGTCACCGATAACGCTTGGAATCGCCAGATGTACGATAATACCCAATCGGGCAGGACGTGCCCGATGTACGTAATGATCGATCAGACGTTTGACACAGTTTTCAAGCGCGAGCAATTTTCGACGGACGTAAGTCGGCTTTTTGTATGAACGATATCGGCAAGAGGATCGAATCGATTTTATCTAGCAAACCTCTGTTTAAAATCAATAAGAATTGTCATGTAAAATAGACGTTTATTGATTTTAATTCCGATTTATTAACGAGAATGCATTCATTTAATAATCTCTATCAAGAATTAAAGCATCTGTTAATTAGATGAACGAATAATTCATGTGACTATGCCTATTGATTCAATTGGAGAATTTTTAGTAACCCTTTTCGGAGCGTGAAAGAGTAGATACGGGCCTGGTACGCATACGTCGATTCCTGGAGCTTACATAGGAATAACGACGACGGCGACGACGACGCCGAGAACACATTAAACCCCCACCCTCACGTACTACGAAATACTACGTTCTGTGATGCGGTGCAATTAAGCCGGCAACCCCTTGCCCTCCGTTCTACGTCCCACCCTGCAACCCCTCCAGCAGACTTCGGGCCAGCAGGGGCGCAAGTCCGTCTCTTCTTTTAACCGCCCCCTGCCCGCAACCGACGTTTATCCATTCGTTCATTCATCAGAACACACTTCTTTTAACCGGCTCTTGCCTGTTCGAAAGGCGTAACCGCAACGATTCTCTGGTATCTTCGATAGGGTGCTTGGTACCCATTTGCGTTCACGACGAGGTAACGCAGTGCCAGGTAGTTCGGAATCTTTAGTACAGCTACCGAAAACGATCCCCGATCCAGGCTTTTACTTAGGGATAACTTGGCGTAGAAGCGTTACAGTCTTCTAAAGGGTTCCGTCAAAAACTAAGGATAAGAGAGAGAGTATATGTTTTATTGTAAAATCATTTTTCAGTTTTAAGCTTCTGTGTCGAACCCGTATAACTATTGAAGTATAAGAATTTCTCTTCCCTGCAGCTAGAGACTGGTTTCGGAAGAAATCTGAGACAAACTGCAAGACAGCAAGCTTCTAACTAGGGCTTCAATTCGAATTTTAGTTAGAATTCATTTGCATTCCAATCAACTGCATAATGAAAATTTTACTTCTTCATGTGTTCATGCTAAACGAGTCTGGGATCGTTTCAAGTATATCAATGATTTAGTATAACGAGTTGATTGAGTATGCAACAGTTGATGTAAGATCAATATTTTACGAAATAAATGTGAAGATCAACAATATGTGTTAAGTTTTTTCCCTCCTAATCGGAATAACCTATTTCTGCCCTTATAATCAGAGTAAACTGACGCTTTATTCGAAGAAAGTTAATTCGTTTAGACCCGAGACCTAACACAATTCCCACGGCACCCAATTCGCAAAATATATGCATATATTGATACGCACTTAACCTCGAATCGCCAAATACTTAAATATTATCGTTACTTAAACATCGTAATTATATTAATCAACGATTAATGTCAATATTCATCAATAATTATGAAAATCAAAGCTTACAGCATAACCCCACGAAATCCATCGTCCAGACCGGCGCGGCTCCTTTTTCAAATTCCATGTCCTCAGCACTTCCCAATGATTTTCCTTCCTTCAACCCATGCAAGCTGCTTATCTCCTTCTACAGAACACTCGACACTTCGCGATAAATGGAATAATCTGTTCTTCGTTAATGTTTTATTGTAAAATCATTTTTCAGTTTTAAGCTTCTGTGTCGAACCCGTATAACTATTGAAGTATAAGAATTTCTCTTCCCTGCAGCTAGAGACTGGTTTCGGAAGAAATCTGAGACAAACTGCAAGACAGCAAGCTTCTAACTAGGGCTTCAATTCGAATTTTAGTTAGAATTCATTTGCATTCCAATCAACTGCATAATGAAAATTTTACTTCTTCATGTGTTCATGCTAAACGAGTCTGGGATCGTTTCAAGTATATCAATGATTTAGTATAACGAGTTGATTGAGTATGCAACAGTTGATGTAAGATCAATATTTTACGAAATAAATGTGAAGATCAACAATATGTGTTAAGTTTTTTCCCTCCTAATCGGAATAACCTATTTCTGCCCTTATAATCAGAGTAAACTGACGCTTTATTCGAAGAAAGTTAATTCGTTTAGACCCGAGACCTAACACAATTCCCACGGCACCCAATTCGCAAAATATATGCATATATTGATACGCACTTAACCTCGAATCGCCAAATACTTAAATATTATCGTTACTTAAACATCGTAATTATATTAATCAACGATTAATGTCAATATTCATCAATAATTATGAAAATCAAAGCTTACAGCATAACCCCACGAAATCCATCGTCCAGACCGGCGCGGCTCCTTTTTCAAATTCCATGTCCTCAGCACTTCCCAATGATTTTCCTTCCTTCAACCCATGCAAGCTGCTTATCTCCTTCTACAGAACACTCGACACTTCGCGATAAATGGAATAATCTGTTCTTCGTTTGTGCAAAACATTACTCACTTTTAATTTTCGCGGAAGCTCCAGAGTGAACAAATGTGAACAAATGTTCTTACGGAATAACGATCTTGTCGGTAGACTTTTGCGACGCAATTTGGCACACGAGCGCCACCTCTGGACAATCGTACGGACGACGTAGGTTTGACGGTTTTGCATCTATCCATGCACGTGTGTTTGCGTGTTGCACGGATCGTTCGATTTTTGGCGCACAACTAAGGTAATTTCTCGTAGATTTTTGAGGGTAATCGTCCCGAGAAAAGGCGGCAGAACGAACAATCGTCTCTTAATTATCGTACGCGTTTACGTGGCCCGGTGTCGTGCAACAGTCGAAGTTTCTTTTGTCTCAGCTGGTGGTTCGTCTTCTACCAGTCATCTTTTCGTATCTCACCTCGTGCAGCTTTTATTTTTATTGCCCTAACGATCCGGTATATTTTTATCATCGAACTTTCGATCCCCCGCGTGGAAATTCTAGAAATGCGATAAGAAATCTCGGCTTTCCATCGCTCTCTCCTTGTCTTTCCTCATTTTCTCTCTCTCTCTCTATCGTTCTACATCGTCTGTCTATGCCTGTCTCTGTTTCTCTTTACTGGCTCGTGTAAGGAGTCCGGCGATGGAAATCTTTTGAATTTTCGGATTTAACTTTTCATCGTTTGGATTCCGACGCACACACGTGCAATCCCTAACCTCTGGTTTACGTAACGCGTATCCCCGGCTTAATCCGTATGAATGAAATTTTAGACGAATAATGCCGTCCGACGCGAAGAAGAAACAGCAACAGAAGAAGAAGGAGGCAGCAAAGGCTAGACAGTCTGGCAAGAAGCAGCCTCAGACTAATCCGAGCAAGACTGGAGAGGACGGCAAGGAGTCCGGAGTGGGAGTCATTGAGAATGGAACTAATGGAACGCCTATCAGCACCGAAGGTAAAACCCTGCATTTTGAAATTATAGAGAGGCTAATGAAAGGTTCTCGAGTTAATGGATCGACGTTTCTTTTACAGAGGCACTGTGTTTGAAACTGGAGGCAGATGCCAGACTGAACGCAGAGGCACGCTCCTGCACGGGATCCTTGGCTTCCCATCCACGGAGTCGAGATATAAAGATATCCAACTTCTCGATCACTTTCCATGGCTGTGAACTACTACAGGACACCATGCTGGAGTTGAACTGCGGCAGACGTTACGGTCTGTTGGGACTCAATGGCTCTGGGAAATCGACTTTGCTAGCTGTACTTGGAAACCGAGAAGTTCCTATTCCCGATCAGATCGATATATTTCACTTGACCAGAGAAATGCCTGCCAGCAATAAAACTGCTTTGGAATGCGTGATGGAGGTGGACGAGGAACGCGTGCGATTAGAGAAACTGGCTGAGGAATTGGTCGAATGCGCCGAGGAGGACGCCCAGGAGCAACTGATGGACGTATACGAAAGGCTAGAGGACATGTCTGCGGACACGGCGGAAGCTCGCGCAGCTCACATCCTACACGGTTTGGGTTTCACTGCGAAAATGCAGAAAACGCCTACCAAAGACTTCTCCGGTGGCTGGCGCATGAGAATCGCTCTCGCCAGAGCGTTGTACGTGAAGCCTCATTTATTGCTATTAGATGAGCCAACGAATCATTTGGATCTTGACGCTTGCGTCTGGCTCGAAGAGGAGCTGAAAACTTACAAAAGAATCTTGGTCATCATTTCTCATTCCCAAGATTTCCTTAACGGCATCTGTACAAATATCATACACGTGAACAAGAAGCAGTTGAAGTATTATACTGGTAACTACGAAGCGTTCGTCAAGACGCGGATGGAATTGTTAGAGAATCAGGCGAAGCAGTATAATTGGGAACAGGATCAGATTGCTCATATGAAAAATTACATCGCCCGGTTTGGTCACGGTTCCGCGAAGCTGGCCAGACAGGCACAGTCAAAGGAAAAGACGCTGGCGAAAATGGTAGCGCAAGGCCTCACAGAGAAGGTGGTTAACGATAAAGTTCTCAACTTCTATTTTCCCTCTTGCGGCACCATCCCGCCGCCGGTCATCATGGTTCAGAACGTCAGTTTTCGTTACAACGAAGATTCGCCTTGGATCTACAAGAATCTAGAGTTTGGTATAGATCTGGACACCAGGCTCGCTCTGGTCGGCCCGAACGGTGCTGGAAAGAGCACCCTGTTGAAATTGCTGTACGGAGATGTAAGTTCCGATCATTCATTCGATCTTCTTTCTTTTTTATGCACGTATTAACGTACAATTACAGTTGGTTCCATCCAGTGGTATGATACGTAAAAACAGTCATCTTCGAATCGGGAGGTATCATCAGCATCTGCATGAGCTGTTGGACTTGGACATGTCACCTCTGGATTATATGATGAAAGCTTTCCCGGATGTTAAGGAGAGAGAAGAGATGAGAAAGATCATCGGCCGTTATGGTCTGACCGGTCGTCAACAGGTACGAATCTTCAGTTCAATAATTCTTCATCAGATAATTATATCTTCTCTTGTCGTAGGTATGTCCGATAAGACAATTGTCCGACGGACAACGTTGCAGAGTCGTGTTCGCGTGGCTGGCTTGGCAAGTACCTCATCTATTGCTGCTTGACGAACCTACCAATCATTTAGACATGGAAACGATCGACGCGTTGGCAGATGCCATAAATGACTTTGACGGTGGAATGGTGCTCGTGTCTCACGACTTCAGATTAATCAATCAAGTACGCATTATTATCCTGAATCATCGATCCATCGTCTAATGGTCCCTTAATTTCCCGAATTGTTTTCAGGTGGCAGAAGAGATTTGGGTGTGCGAAAATGGAACGGTTACAAAATGGAGTGGAAACATTTTAAACTACAAGGAACATCTGAAATCGAAAGTGCTCAGCGACAACCAGAAGAGGCAGAAGGAAATGTACAAAAGCAAATAATTCGGCCCACTCCATTTTTTTTTTCAAGTGTACACCGCCTTCTCTCCAATTCTGTCCGTTCTAGCAATTTCTGTCTGCCCTGTCTCGTTTCGGACACTTAATTAGCTGACACTGCGCTGCTGTGTAGCGTTCGTCAGCGGTCGAGGATTTCTTAGTTAATTTATTTAAGCGAATGAACTGTGAATTACTGTGACGATATTGATTCGTGGTAGAATTTTACTATTTACCGTTGAACCGGGAGTCCGACGTGATTCATTGTACTGTGAGAAAACTATAATTTGACATATACGCATATATAAAATAGATTGCTACAGAATACTGCGGAAATAAAACACATTTAAGTATTATTAAAACACATCCAATACTCGAATTATTCACTTTATGCGATTCAGCTCTTTACTACAAAGTCCTATTTAACTATAAATTAATTTGATTCTCGGTATATATAAAAATATATATATATAGATGTGTACAAACAGTTATAAATACTTAATACGATCGAAGGAGAAACGATTACATTTTTCGCGAAATAGAATTTTTCATCTCAGGTATACCGTTTAAAAAAATATTCTTTAATAGTAACATCATGGAAGACTTGAACGTCTCGTACCGATCATATCACACGAAGTATATCTCCAGTGTTTTTTAATCGTGTAAAGTGTTGTCAAATATATAGATCTATACTTATGATATTTTTTAATACGTCACGAAAAGTAATGTACGCATTTTTGTAACGACTATATACTTACACGAGAATGTAACGCACTAGAGGAAAAGAAAGGGAACTCGACTCCCGTCGTCGTGTTTTGGATCTTGGCATAATAAAAGGAGAAGAAAAAGGAATTCTTAGTGCTTTCAATCTCACGTTAGAGTTTAGAGAATGCAAACGCCTGAATACCATTATGAGAAACGTGGTCGCTAAATAATGTTGGAAGACATTCGGAGTTCAAACCGACGTTGAAGCCGGCACGGAGCAAGCCATTTCCTGCGCCAGGGCAGCGTTCCTCAGGATGGACAAATGCGAGTCCATGTCGCTCAACGCCTGGTCGATGAACGCTAATTTCCTGGCGTGACTCTTGGACACCCCGTGCTTGGTCACCAAAGCCAGATGAGTGACGGCTAGCACCAATGCTGCGACCCTGGCCTCCAGCAGTCTCGCGTCTAACGGCGGGTACAAGCTCCTCACCACGTCGTCGACACGAGGCGGAATGCGTCTAGCAACCTGATACAAATTCGTCTTTCTAACATCGATTCGATACCTACGAATTAGATTGACTTACGTCGACGATTTCTAACGGGACGGTGTTACTGTTTACCGTGCCTGCTATAGCGGTGAGACTTGAGGCCAAAGCGTGGCAAGATCTCAACACGGCGATGCACAACGGAGCTAAACCCGTCGCGTCGTCGACCCATCTGAATTCGAACGAGTTATTCGAAACGACTATCTACTATTTTTATAACAAGTATCAACTTCTTAAACCAATCGAACTATGTAGAACAACCGAATATCGATGTGACATACTTTAGACGGAAATACATTACTTATGTATACCTCTCAGCCCCAGCTAGCCATTCCTCGCTCTCCCATGCATCTAAATCCAAACCGGAGAAATTCTCACCCTCCAAAAGATCCGAGCTTAGATCTGGTGAATCTTTCTGATTCTAAAATAAGATTGCCCTGATGTTCGCAACTGTCTTTGTTAAAGATCCAGGATTTTGTATGAAGAACTCGTAACTTACGTAGTAGCATCGCTGTCTTTTGCAAATAACGAGAAGAACCAAAAGCGCGCCGAGGAACACAGCAGCCAGTGCACCAAGTGCCACTGCAACCACTGTTTCCATTCCAGTGGCACCAGCCGCGGTGTTACTTATCGACACCGGGGAACTCATCCTTCGGACGGGCTTGTCAATCGAACAATCACGTTCAAACTATTGTTCGGATCAATTGGACAACGATATACGGGTCATGAATAACGTTTGAACGATTTTTTCCGTAAACAGAGAACGCGATCAGCGTCGAGTTTCCCGGTGATGATCGGTGGGAGGCGGAGACTGTCACGAATCTTAAGCTCCATTCATCAAATAAATGATTCCCTCCATCCTCTGTTGCGTATTTTGCAACTCGCGTTACGTAATCCCTAATCCTTCGTTAACAAGTAATTTTGTTAACGAAGACGTTTCGCATCCGGGAAGAGCATGTTAATGACTCAAAGTTCAGAACCGAAGAAAAAATCGATACGATAAAATTGTATAAAAAATGGGACGTGATTCTTGTCAGTAGGATTTACCCAGGCTTAGTTTATGTTAAAACGCTTGAAATCTTCTCTCCACCACTTTGCAATAATAAAATTCTGCTCAAAATACATTTATTTGCAATTTGTATGTGCATTTCTGCGCGCATGCACTTAGGTTCAGTCATCTACACCACCACGGTGCTCTACGCTTATTTGCTCGATGATTATGGTAACGCGAGATGGAAATAATTAAGTACGTTTCATAGTCATATGTTTTCTGTCATGAGAGAGTTGCTGTCAAATTTCGTGTCGTTCGTGAACATCCTGTGAGTGCGAGGCAAAAATAATAGACAAAGTAGCCGAGACACGACCGTGTCAAGGCTGCGCAACGTGTACAACCGTAAACCGCGTTACCGTATCCGCATTTACCTCGCGTTACGACGGGAATGTAACCTATCTCTTTTAGAACGTCCACGAATTCACTTTTTTTAATTGATTAACATACGCGGTAACGCTTTTTTTTTACCGGAACCACGGAGTTTCGTTTTGTCCTCGAGACGCGCGTTCTGTACACGCAACACGTTAACTTGACAAGAACTCAAGGTAGAAATTGGCAAGGATCGTTTGAAAGAGGCTGTACAGAGGTACAGCAACAGTTGAGAGCCAAGAATTCGTTTGACCAGCACTGCGATTAACATGAATAGGATAAACAGCGCGACTGCCAGACTGAAGCAAGATTACTTGCGCCTAAAGAAAGACCCTGTACCATACGTTGTCGCGGAGCCAGTTCCTTCCAATATATTAGAATGGTATGTACGTTTATCGAAGTTAATCGATGAATCGTAACGAATAATATTTGTTTATAGGCATTATGTGGTCAAGGGTCCAGAGAAAACTCCTTACGAGGGGGGATTCTATCATGGGAAACTTATATTTCCAGGAGAATTCCCATTCCAGCCACCTAGCATTTACATGACTACTCCAAATGGCCGATTCAAAGTCAACACAAGACTATGCTTGTCAATTTCCGATTTCCATCCAGACACGTGGAATCCTGCGTGGAGTGTGTCCACCATTCTCACAGGATTACTCTCTTTCATGGTATGTATCTCAATTTCTATTCCCTGGTACATTTCTTGTTGTCTTAAAATAATAGAAAAATAAGCCAGTGAGTAGAAATTGGGACCTTAACTAGTAAAATTGAAATTAGAATAGTTCTCTTCATTTCATAGATTGAGAACAGTCCTACGATGGGAAGCATCAACACGTCGGATTATGAGAAGAAAATATTCGCTGCTCAGAGCCTGGAGTACAATCTGAAGAACAAAATGTTCTGCGAACTGTTCCCAGAAACTGTTGAGGTAAATACAAAGAATGATACGAAGAGTGATAATATATTAACGAAAGGATTTTTTCGACAGGTAATAAAGGCCGAGTTGGCGCACAGAAAAGAACTGGAAAAACAGGCGAGGCATCAATCGACGGCCGCCGAGGTTTCGTCGATGCTGCGCGACCAATTTCAAAGGGATCAAACCCCGTTGTACAGTGCCCTGACGAATCTCGTTTTCATCATCGGATTCGCGGCGTTCGCTTACACGGTGAAATACGTACTATGGAGCGTCGCCATGGAATAAGTGAAAAGGACTACCAAACGAATGCACAACTGTGCGCGTTCTACTTTTATTCGTTAGAAAGAGAGAGAAGCGAAGAAGATTAATGTTGTGATAACGACGCGTGCAAGGTGTTTAGAAACTCGATCGGGTACGAACACGTCTGAATCTTACAAACACGCGGTACTACTTCTCCTGGTTTCCGAGTTCACACACACGAACGTTTGATAGATTTTTTATATCAAAGTTACCTATAAAACACGAGTTGTACTATACGTATATATGTATATATACACAGACACACACATTCGAAAATTTTCAACGCGTTCACAACTCCGAGGAGTTCTATCCACGAACGAACGAAGTATATCGTTTATTTCCTTCTTTTGAAGAAAACAATCGATCTTTTTGAATGGTTTACGACGCTGTTGATTGATTTTTTCGATTGACCTCGGTCGAGTTCCGTTATGCGATTTTTCCAAAGTATGTAGTTCGACAGGGTGGACTATAATTATATTTAACGACTATTTGTAGAATAACTGAGAGAAAGTGCGGGAGAGAAAGAGAGAGAGTGAGTGGAACAAGTAGAGTAATTAAAAGAAACAATAAAAAATCGTAGGGGCTTCCCATCGGTGAAAGCGACGAGCGCGAACCTACGGCTTTCGTGTTACGATAATTTAATTATTTTTTTTCTCGCGTCGTCGGACTTTGATCAGGAAAGAGTAAAACTTCCCGAAGTGTAGCCTGCCTCTGCGATGTGCCAATGAAAAACCAAGTCGAAATTTTTAACGCGGGTCGGACTAAGCTTGGTAGGACGAAATTCGTGACGATTTGTAAATACGTGTAGCGAATTATTAATACGTATGTAATATCAGTGAATAACATAAAAAAAGACAAAAAAAAATAATGCTTACAGATCGGTGTCAGTATTCGTTGTTCTGGATCGTTCGAAATGTTCACTCTTCTGGATGTCGATCACTTAGCTGGGCACGTACATCAATCGGTCGCAATAAAAGAAGAGCAAGAAACGAAATTGTAACTCGCGATGCGAGAAATTTAACGTGTACAGACGTCAGTGTTAACGAGTACAGAACTGATGTATAATCGGTTTTATGTTAACGATTAACCGCGTCGGTTTTTATTTATTAATTAAAAGTAATACCATTTTTGTATGCAAAGCAAACATCGTCTTTTATTTCCGATTCCTGCTTGCTCGTCACGAAGAAAAAGAACGGATTCCTCTCGCGCGCGCGAGAGTGTAAAATAATTTCTCACGTACCTCGTCCTTTTTTTCCACGGCTTCCACGTCGCGTACACTCCCGTGACTCACCCGGACATGCAGGCAATTACAATGTACTTCGTAATTTAAATTAAAGAAAATATCGCGGAAACTAGAAATATTCAATTGACGTAAACCGAACGCGATCCAAAGGCGTTACTTGACTAGCCGCTCACAGATGTCGACACTGCGGCCAACCGTTGCCCTCTTTTCAAATCGGCCCCTCTTTCGCGCAATCTACACTTCTCGCGTAACGTATATTTTCTGTTTTCTATATAAATGCATGTATGTACAGTATATATTACATGTAATTAACATGGGAAATAATAACTGAAGTTTTTTAAGCATTATTGCAACTTTCGCTGGTTTCCTTGGTCGCCAACGTCTTTCTTTGTCGATTACGACATGCAACAATTTTGCAGTACTTCCAGGCACCATTGACACATTAACGATCGACGGGGAAGCAAGTGCGATATGCTGAACTGACATTTAGAGCGGCATTAAACGGCGGCGACGGTTTGCGGATCGCGAGGGAAAAGAATAAAGGAAGGAAACGGGAGCATCGTTTCACCGTGTTTACCGGTACGGTAAGCAGTTAGAATTTTCTTTGAATGCTCCCTTGTTCGAGTGCGCTCGGGAGGAAGGATGCATCCTGTGAAGACGCTTTCTTACCGGTTTCGCGTTTGGTTTACTCGTTTCTGGCCACGAACAGTGACGAATAATTAACGAACGAACGCTTACCTCAATCAATTACTCTTACATTTCGAAAGAGAAATGTTCCCTCCCGTCGTCTTATCTGCTTTTTTGTCTACGGGATTCAAGTCCGAGAGTTTCTCATGGTTCGCCATGCAGCTGTTCGCACGTCCACCGGATCCACCTTAATCCACGAAAACACGGTGTAAAAGAAGCAAACAGTAATTTATTCGTGCACGAAATAACAAGGAAGTCGAGCGTACGAGCCTTTCCCGACCGTTTCACGCCCCCACGTAAGTAAATCATCGTGCCGCAGGCGCCAGGACACTTTTGTCGTGCCTCAGATCCTGCGAAAATAAGATACACGTGTCCCCTTTTCCGTGGTCTCATTCCGACCGTTTACCTAACTTAATCTACTGTACATTTCTGACTATCATATTCGTCTTTCTTTATAATTATATACTATTTAGGTTTCTGAGACAGGGTTGCGTTATGAAAAATCAACTTTTTTATTGATTTTTCGTACGTAATCTCTACGTATCAGAGAAAAATCTTAAGCTCGACTGTCCGACCGATTTCTCGATATTAACGTCGTTATATTTACGTCGCGCGATGGCACATTTCAGCTGCAACCTGTTGCAATAAATCGTATTTACGATAACTCGATTCCTAGTAGTCGGTTTACGATACCGGAAGTCGAACGACTCCCGTCCGTCGTTTCTGTACCAGGATTGCCTCATTCACGTTTTACACGTGTGCACGCGCCTCTCAATCCTTTGTGCACATCATTAACCCTCTATATTAAGCGGTATTAAACGCAATCTAACAATGTTCGGTCCCTTGTGAAACGCGATCAGTGAGTTCGTGTGTTAATTGTGTCGACGATTTCGATCAGTGATTTCAATCAGTGTAATAAAAGAGTTCAAGCAATTGTTTAATTCTTCTCTGAAGAAAACATTGGTTCCTGTTCTTCTAGTACCGCTACCTGTTATTTAGAAGGTTAGTTCTTGCGTTTTGTATTTGACAATTTTTCTACGTGTCACTGCTTGTTCGTGAATTCCTGGTCGAAAATAGCACAGTTCTCATTTCGTATTCTCTTATTATATTACTCTCTGCAACTATTCTCTGCTTGCAGGAACGATGAAGACCGAAGTGCAACAAATAGAAGAATGATTGCTGAACGATTATTGTGCAAAGTGAATATTTGTGATTGTGAAAACTGTGAGCAATGCTGGGGTAAATGGGACAATGGATTTATATACGAGACAACGGAAAAAGGTATAAATATGAATGTTTAATAGATATCTGACAAAGTTTCATGTAACCCCCCTTATGCGATGAATTATTTTACAAAAATCTGTCATTTAGTTCGCACGTTTTATTTATTTATTTAACAAATTAGCAAATAGGAACAGGTTACCACTTAAGGGATTAATAAGATATGTAGGTACGTAGTTCTTTATTAATTTCCTGTATACATTAGCAATCTTGATTGCTTTGTTTCAAATACGGAACGATTCCCGACTGACTTTGCATGCACACATGCACCGAATTAAATGCAGTGTTACGGATATTTCTCATCTTCTCAACATTAACAGTACGACAGTTAAATATCTTGAACTTTTACCTCAAGTTCCATTGCATAGGCGAGACACAATTCAAATTAGAGATAGAAGAATGAATTATGCAAGCAGTTATAAACCGGTCGTTGAATTATTCTCCCAAGTTATCTACGTTCTCAAACGAAACGGTACAGCGGCACGATTTAAAATCAATCAGAAATATGTTCCGCGTTTCCTTAGGGGCGTTGAAAAAGAGTCGTTTCGAAAATAATTAACTGGCGGGGACGAGCTCATTACGCGGCTTAATTAGCTGCCACTGGTACCCGTGTTCCTCCACGGGAAACGCTACCGAATTATTACGTACCGCCTCTCTTCAGCTGGGACCGCGTTCCCCGAAATACTCTTTCCCTGGAAGTGAAAAATGATCTGCCCGAATAGTATCCGGTAATTATACGAACTGGAATATCGATTAGACTTTTAGTAATGTTACAGGAAGAGTTACGTTCGGCATTGGAATTTTGATAAGATCTTGCGAAGAGAAAGAATCCGAACTGGGTTTCGTTGCTCGCTTTTACTATTCCAAGGATATTTAAGTACATAGTTTTACGTACACGCGAGGAACGTCGGAGGAGATGGAACGGGACGGTAGCCGCGGTTGGCACTAACGACGGACGATTCATCATCCGGTAGGGAAAACGAAAGGAGTGACAGAAATTGCGGTGATTTAGTAGGAAAAGACAGAGAACAGATGTTTCGCTTTTCTCTCCTGCGAGTCTCTTTTTCTTTTTCGCCGTCCACCTTTCATTCTGTAAAGAAGTGACCGACATATCGACCTGCAATCAATTTTTTAGGAATATTCTAACACTGAGGAGGCATTTGGGAAGTGAATTCAATGAAATACTAGACGAGAGTCAAGACGCAGCTCGGAAGTTGTTAACGTATATATTATTGAGGATTAGATTTAGGAAATCGGAGGAGGCTGTCGTTCGGCCGGTTGACACAATTTTTTGACCAATCGTCCGTGCTGGGCGTCGCTTCCTTGCAATAATATTTGCACTGGCTCGTCTAATCCATTAAGCCTGCCATCGGCTGGCGTTTGGTAAATTATTTACCGGCTCTTCCGTTCGCCACCGCTGTCGTTCCTCGTCTCGCCGCGTTGCTTCCACGAATTTACGATCTGGGAATATCCATACGTTTCGCTGTACGTATAAGCGCGGAACTCGTCGCTGTCCGATATAAATGAGCATTGAAATAAGAAATAGGGAACAGGCGTGGGCGAGTGAAACAATAGAGACGATGATCATTGTTCGGTAGTCATTTTTTTATTTCTCGCAGTCCGTAAAAAAATACTGTTATATATTAGCTAAAAAGACGAGCGAGCGTTCGATAAGAATGATTTAAAAAAAAAAATGCACTTTGGCACAGTTTGTATAGGAATGAACATCCAAGTGTCTCGTTTAAAAAAAAATAAAACTTCTACTATTTACATAGCTATGTACAAGAATCACTTGGACGGTGAATAAATTATTGCGACTTCCGGCCATCTCTACTTAACGCTAAGCTACGCTACCATCTAAAAGCTACGATTTTTATCCTATTATATACAAGATCTTTGGTTTGTCTAGCTGTATGCACGTACGAAACGTTACGCTTTGTCGTTAAATTAATTATGATACATGGTTCTATTATATTAGTGGAAATCTCGAGCGTTACTTGTTTTTTTTTTTAACTGCTCGCATCGCGTATTAACTAATTTTGCTAATTCTAAAACGATTACGCTATCTATGGCACTACAAGCTTAAAACTATTTTTAAGGCGATGAACGAATTAGTTATAATATGCACAGTACCTTTGGCCCTCGTCTCTAATTAAATAACAATTGTATAAAAATCACTCATACTTCGACGCCACAGTCGATGCTACAACGACGACGCGTAACATTGATTCCTTGACATACTCCGAGTACAATCGTATTATAAAAATTTCAGTTGGAGGACTCGTCACGTTTGCTGTTCGCTCGTATCGTACAACGGAAAGAGGTACATAGGGACCAGCGTTCTGACGTGCCCTGGAGTAAGGAGGAACGGCGATGGCACCTCGTTTGGACTCCAGCTTTTTTTCACGAAGATTCAGTGCGGCAATAAAGACGCTGGCGGATTTAACGTAGCGTGTCTTCGTTAAGCGAGTCAAACGAGAAACTTTTCCTTCTTGCCTTACTTCTCGGTTTAAAATAAACCCCGGCCGCCCTTTCGCCTCGCGGTGGAAACTCGCTCGGGACTTACATTTTCATGCACTCGCGTGAAACAAAACCAGAAATTCCACCGTTCAATGTATCCCGTATTTCGGATCATTCTGTCTTCTTATTTCACTGTACATCTTGAATTGTTCAAGCATTTTATTTCATACATCAAATGTGAATATATTACTAGTTGGGAACATGTTCTCGAAGGGAAAGCTGGCCCTCATATATATGAGAGGATTACAATTGTTACGGGAATTTCCAATGTGATTTCCGTGTGTCACTGTCCCTTGAAAATCCGTTACGGTGAATTTATGACGGTCTAACAGTTTAAACTTGAAGGAAATCGCACTTTGTCTTTACTAAGTCCGTAAAAAGGGGTGTAATCAATTGTACGTTCGAATTCCCCGAACCCGGGTCCGATTTTCCCTTTCCAATGCTCTCGCGACAGACAGTAGCGTCATTGCTACAATTTTACGAGTTTTTTTATGGGCCGTGATGATCGCGGCCGGCTACGGGCGCCGAGACGCTGTGGAAACAAGCTGAAACTGCTACCCGACGGGTAGATGAAACTTAAACAAAACAAGACAACCGGCAGGGGAGGCATTAACGAGCATTTCGGCGCCTACAGGTCGCTACTAGCTTCGTACTATGTACCTCTTTTCTTTTACCACATAGAAACCCGCGTTTCGTATCGAACAACAGAATTGTTTGTCAATTGATAATAATTATAATTCGCTCGAGACAGCTTCTTTGATGCGAACATTCTTTACGTGTCTATATAAAACTGTAATCTGCGTGTATCGCGAGTAACTCTGCCAACAAGATTTTCATAGAACATTCCGCGTCGTTTCCAAGATTGATACTTGTTAATAACAGGTTTCACGCGGTAGTCTCGGATGGAATTGGCCAGCTGGCCAAACCTCTAATTCGCTGTAAACGCTTAAATTATTGGCTTTAAAATCGGGCACCATCTCGCGTTTCAAAGAACGTAACCGAGAATAAAATGATCCGATGTGTCGCGTACAAACTTAATTAACAGCAAACGTGACTCCCGTTTGGTGCATCTACTTTAGAGGAGAGTTAACAGATTCTTTGGTATACGTCTTTTGGTACCAGTTTCAGGAACAACGTGTCTCCTAATTTACTTATTAAGAAAGATCCTCTGGCAACATACTTTAATTGTTATATGGCCAACCGTGTTTTATGATTTTACTATCTAAGTCGGCTTGGTTTAGAAAAGAATTAGTCCAGTCGACTACTCCTTAATTTAAGAAAAGAAATAAGCCACTTTCTATTCTTCATGTGGATTTTTAAATTGGATAAGAAATACCTTCTTCGTCTTGCTTGATCTCAGCTGATTTGTTTCTTTGAACCGTTTTCATTCAATCGGCGTCCTACGAAAGTTTCGATATTTTCGTGCCAGCGAAAATAGGAAATCCGTGTAACAGGAAGATCACTGAGTCGCCCTGAGATTATTTTTCTTATACCTTTCGCCCGTAACGGAGACGACGTTCTCCCTCAGAGATTCGAATTCCAATCGTCTTCCATTCTCCAAACGCTGAACGCGTACGAGAGCTTCTCGTGAGCCATGTAGCTGCACGACGACGAAGTTATCTCCCTCGCTGCTAACACCGCGCTTCTTGGATTTCTATCTCCTGAAACAATGAAATTCCTTTTTATCAACTTCGCAGTCACTATGCAAAAATTTCCATTCTCTTGTCTATATTATATTTCAACAAATATATGCATTTTAGAACGAAAATATTGAAACTAAGAAATGACAAAGCAAGAGATTCTTGAAGTGGAAGATGAAACTGGAGGCAGGGGAGACATGCAGAAATGAAAAACGAAGAGCGTGAACGCGAGAAGCTTGTTGAAAACGGGCCGATCGTCGGGACTGTTAGAGCTTCTCAAGTGTCTTTAGTCACCTGGAGTTATGGTATATCGTCACCATTTGGCCGCTGCATCGCCTTGTATTCTGTCAACCTTGATGGAAATTGCGATCAAAAGGATGAACATTACTACCGGGCATTGACAAACCCGACGAACATAAATTTTATAGAAAAATCTTATACTTCAAGAGATTGCAACAATTTATTAGAAATTTTAATAGCCTTAGCTTATTAAGAATTTCAAGAATAGTCTGAAGTGAAGAATTCATGTCTAATTTATTGAATAACTTAAAAGGATTTGAAGCTTCTCGGTTACTAAAACTTTGCTCAGGATACAAGAAGCTGTGTATAAACTGTCTCATTGCGACAAACGAGATTTCCAGAAGTTGTTTGTTCTCTTATCAAGTTTGTAAAGGAGTCGAGTGGTAGCGATGTTTATACCTGACCATGGGGCGAGTTCACTGCTTAGGATAGAAAATCGTTGGGACCGGCTCTTCGCGGGGGTATGTTTAATTGCTGGGCCCCGCTTCAAACAAACCTACCAGAGCTTCTATAAACACGCTTAAGATGCCGACGGAAACGTTCGTAGTACAGATCAAGGGAGATGCATTAATACATGGAATTATGATTGAAATAAGAAATGAGTATAATTATTGAAGTTACAAAATCTGAGAAAGGAAGTGCTGCTATTTGAAATTGTAGAATTATAAATTGAGAAAACAAACTAGTGGAGGATTGAAAGAATCTGCATGCAGTAATTGAGGGAATGCAATCTTATCTATGAAAGCACATTTGTCACCTACTCACCACTGGCCTCTTCGGTGGTGTCAGTGTTCTCCATGTTACAATGCAACACTTGAAAGAGAAAGTCGATGTATCTAGTAGCCAGCTTCAACGTCTGGATTTTGCTAAGCTTGTCACTAGGCAAAGTAGGTATGATCTTCCTCAGCGCAGCGAAAGCCTCGTTCAAACTCTGAGTCCTCTGCCTCTCGCGCACGTTCGCCATCACCCTTTGATTCTGTATCTCCTCGAAGCTCGCCCCGGTCTTCCTCCTTACTTTATTCTTCGTCGACGATGCATTACTATCCTCAGACTCGTTCTCGATGCTACTAGATTTCCTTTTCCTCTTGGCACTGTTTCTCCCCTCGTCCATGTAACTCTTGGTAGACGACGAGGGTTCCGTCTGCCCGATCTCCACCTGTTTGTACCTCTGCTGTTCAATTTCAGGCTTGAAGTCCATCACCTCAGGTTTGTACTCCACCGGTTCCAAGTGGTGATAACCTTGGCCCTGTCCCGGCGCTATTTCTTCGCCACTGGAGGAGTACATTTGAGGAGAGGGCGTAAGGTACAGACTCTGTTCATGATCTCTGCTGTGATCTGACAGGAATCCTGGTGAGTTGTCGTGCAATCGTCTGTCATAGTCGGTCTGGAGATCCCTGAGGATTTTACTATCCTGGTACTTCTTGTTTTCGTCAGGATTCTCGTACATCAAGTACCCAGGCTGTTGATACAACGTCTGATGATGGTGGTGGTGGTGGTGGTGGTGATGTGGTTGATAACCCGGCAAGTGTTTGTGCTCCGGCGGGCTGCTGAGGTCCATCAGGTGCGTCGGCGGAGAGAATCTCGCGTAATGGTCCGGCGAGTTGCTCGCCGAGCTGCCGGCGCTGTGAGGAATACCGGAGCTGTCGTTGTTGTCAAGGATATAGAATCCCTGGATCCTCTGCGTCTGTAGGCTCATCGGTTGCGTGCTCTGCATTGTCTCTCAATTAGAACTACACTCGGTGGCAAAAGCTACACTGGCATCTCACTCTAACTCCACCCCAGTTTCAACTGTTCAATAGTCGCAGAACTGTACCGAGTTTTATATTATCTCGAAAAATGGGCGTTCGATTTTAGACACTCGATGACTATTAAAGGCTACTCTTTTTACGATACGACGCGGCAATGGGCAACTCCCGAGCAGGCTGGTGACTCGGCTCGCCTCCGCTTCGAAAGCTCCGGCGCGTTTGAAGGAATACGCGGGCCTAACTTCGTCTTGGGGTCTGTCGACGTGAACCCCGCCTACGGCCATCGAGAAACGCACTTTACCCTCTACGAGTTTCATTCCCCTACCTGGCCCGTTCTAACTCCTTCCACTCCGGCCCCCCCTCCAGATGGCTTCTGTTATCCCAGCCGCGATGGTATCCACCCACGAGTCTTCGAGTCTTTTAGTTCGACAGAGACGAGAGATAGGGACACGGGGGTGAGAGACAAGTTGTAGCCACCTTTTACGAGGTGGTTTAGGACCTGGACCTGTTAAATAAAGCGTACGTTCATTGTTTAAAGAAGGTTCTTACCTTCTTCTCATTTATCGTGCAAAGTGAAATGCATATATGAAAGTTCTATCGATTAAATGATAAATCGTGTTCTTTATATCAGTTTCATGTTCAGGTTTATTCAGTTTATAAATCAATTGTCACAGGATTCGGTATCGAGGAACGAAGAGAGGGACACGGATCTAGTGGGTTGGATGATGGGCAAGAGAGACGGAGGCTCTGGCAGAATGAGCGACGAGGACGGAGAGTTGAGGGACGACCCACGTTGAATATTTATATCGCCAGGAGCCAGTGAGAATAAAGCGAGGGGATCCGCGAAACTTTGCGTTCGCATGCCCCACGAAATGGCGCGAAAACCGACGATCACCATCGTTCCTCTTCGTCGAACTCTCCTCTTCCTCTAATCGCGAATCATCGTCGAATAAATTCGTCGAAATTCGTATTTAGGAGTTTAGAGGTCGATACAACGCTTCCTTTAATCGCTCGAATGATTGAATTCATACACGCATATGAAGAATCCCGTCGAAATCGAAAACGAATATTTATACATGAATTAATGTTTCCTTTGATGAAACTAATGAATGTGTAACGAGCCGAAGGAGAGAGGAAATCGTGATAAGTAAGCAGGGAAACGGTGAAAGCCTGAAACACGCGGAATTTATAGACACCTTCAAAAGAGCTTTCGTCCGTCACAACAAACACGTCCTGGCAATCCGGCTTGATCATCCATCACCCGGGCCAGTTTCACGGCGCGCCACGTCCCTCCACGCGTGATTTCGAATTGGAACCGCGTTCTCCGCGAACACGAGTCTCGATTCGCGGGAACACAGCCGCGTTTCCCGGTATTAAAACATTTCCAAACAACAGTTCGTCTTATAGTTCAAATAATTCTATCGATATTTCCTACATTTTTTTTACATTACACGCAGTGCGCGTATTCTTAACGCGTCCAGCTTTTTTATAAATACGTAAAATCACTCTATAATTATGTACGACCCGTTAAGAAGATCGCGTAACAATTAATAATAGCAAAGTGGAGACGCGCACTTTGCAAATTGTACGGATTCTATCTTAATGGAACGTCCGGGTGCATTGAAACGAGTTTATCGAAAGTGAAGACATTAGACCGCGACTCCCTTCTGGGAACACGAGGCGAAACGACCGTGCAGAAAATCCCGGATCCTGGCCGGTTGCCAAACGAAAATCAGATCGCCAATGAAGAGGCCGATAAATAACACCGCCAAACACCAAAATAATACTGATCAAAGTCGAATAGCTCCGGCCCTCGTTCCGCCCCGCGAAACCAACGGCGATAAAAAGCTAGTATCAGAATTTATTGTTAAACAGAAAATTATCCAACACCCTCCGACTGCGTGAAAACAATTTTTCATACGGCTAGTAACAACGAAATTGAGCCAGCTACGTGCATGTGTTAGTCTCCCCTAAGGGGACAAAATTCAAAATAATAGTAATAAGTCAACATCTTATTTTTTCGATGCTCGATCTCGCATTGATATTGTTGGATTTTAACATAATTTTGACTCGTCAAAATAAAAATAATGTTAACGTACGCACATTACCAGCACCTACATTAAAATTCTTTTTATTTTGACGCGTCAAAATTATAATAAAATCCAACAGTACCGATGCTAGATCAAGAATCGAAAAAATAAGATGTATACTTATTACTCGTTTTGAATTTTGTCCCCCTGGAGGAAACTAACACATGCATGTAGCTGGCTCAATTTCGTTGTTACTAGCTGTACAATTTACATACCGCGAAATATTCGTCGTTCAGGTAACTCGTAGTACTCGAGCCTATTTTTAAATCCACCGGTTGAGTAAGGTTTTTTTATTACGGCCGAACATGTGCTTACCTGCCGTGGTACCTGTCTTTTTGTCACGGGAAGGTTACGAGGATTAGTCCTGTTGGAAACAGTGCATGCTATGGCGACAAATCCGATTTAATGACGATTTATGGGTCGGGTAGTTTGTTCGGGCGAAGGTACTTCGAAGGTGAATCCGGCCACCAGTTAGGCAATTAGCAGTTTGCAGGAGAAAAGTCCGATCGTAAAACAGCCCCTAGCTGTATCCCCGCCACCGTCTACCGCTTTATAGGTGGAAAAACCCAGTCCTCGGCCTCGGCTCATCGTTTCTAAACTCATTATTCCTCCCCTGTTCGATTACAATCGGGGATCGATTAAGGAAGTGCAAATTCAACATGTAGTATGGAACAACTCATTGTAAGTTATACCGATCGTTATTTTTTTCATTGCAATTTATAATTCTTACACTTGCATCAAACGATTGCATCGAATTTAATTACAATTGCATCGAATTTAATTCGAGTAATGAAATGCTTCATTGAAAAACTTGTTTTTTTTTTTTTAAATAGATGAAGACATCAGGAGAGGTTCTGAATGGAAAGTAATGAATGGAAAGGAAGAAAAAGGCAGTGCTCGATGGCCTTGGTGATTTTTCACCGCCTTTACTAGACTTTCACCTTTTTCCCTCGTTGGAAACATGTGTTTCGGACCGCGGCAATTTTCGACAGGTCGCGAACACATGTTCGGGGTCTTCGGTTCGTAAATGTAAATTCGCTGAGTCGACACATGGTCAATCGGTTCCGGCCGTAAACTCAAAGACCTGCCGTGCAAAGTGTGCAATTTTTTAACGACCACACGAAAAGTCACGTTCATCGATTATGAATCGGACGATCTTTGTTTATGAATGACTGATCTCAGATTACTCGATTTCAGTTTACAAATCAATGAATCAATCCCTGTTTCTTTCAATTTTTCCCTCTTGCAGAATTAATCCTTAACGACTTTTAATTGTGAATATCGTCCAGCAACTCCATTCTTATCGTACTTCGACTTGCAAATTTTTAAATATCAGATTTTAAGGATGTATTGGCTATACAGTCAATCCCAAAAGTTTATGCACTTTAGAAACGCATTTTTTAAAAAGAAATCAAACGTCGGAAGAACATTGGTAATATTAAACANTATTAAAGTCATTCAAAACAATCTTTATTAAATATAAATTTGATTACAATATTTCTATTAATTATAATTGAATAGCTTGGGAGGTGCTTTAGAGGCAAACTTGAAGCGTTAAGGGTTGAATAAATATAATACAAACTCGAGTAATTCTAACGGGATTGATTCACTTTTAGTTTCGTTACTTACATTCATGCAGTTGCATGACGCGTAGGTAGAAAGTGAGATTTGGTCGTGACAGGTAGGCAGTTAGTCGTAAGCGGAGGTAAGGGACGGTACGGTACGGTGCCGTAGGGTGCGTAACCTCTTCTCGGCACCTTAAGGTCCCTTGTCTTATTGCCGTTCTTCTCGTGGGATGCCGCGTGTTCGACACATGGCGAGGGTATGCACCGGCGCAAACATTGTACCAGCTATCTGTCGGTGCGGATCGTAAAGGCAGCCGTTTATAATGCCTTGGCCCGGGGACACTTTGTGAGCAGCACGCGGGCAATATACCTCAGTCGTTAGCCGAGAAGCCATAGGAGAGATATTGTCGTTTGGATATTTCAAGTTTACGACCGACCGTCCTACCTCCCGCCTATGCCCCTCTTTCCCGGGGGTAGTTTACTTCCGTTTCGAGAATGTCCGTCGTCTATCCCGATTAGCAAGCCAAGCACTTTTCTACGAAATAGTTGTTGCGTCGAAGGACATCTTTCGCAAATCGTCTCGATTTTTTTTAATTATTAATGATGAGACAGTGAGAGAATGTTCGGTTAGGTAAAATGTAGAACACATAATCGCTAGCATTAAGTATTCACTATCTGTTCATGTTATTTGTAAGAAGAGTGGCTGATTATGTTTGATCTCGATGCCTGGAATGCGTGAATTAGTTTAATAACATATTCACAATCTCTTCATGTTATTTGTGAGAAGAGTAGCTGATTATGTTTGATCTCGATACCTGGAATGCGTTTAACAGTTGTTGGTCAGTCCATAAATCAGTAATAAACGCTGGTTGATTGACAATGGAAAACAGTAGTAAAACGTTTCTGTGTACTGTATTATGGCCGCAGTAACAATTAGGAGGTTTGCATTGTGTCAGGTGCTTACATTACCATCAGAAAGGAAGAATTCTCCTGTTGAAAGGGAAGGTGGGGCAGTCGAATGAAAAGGAGACACGGGGAGTCCCCGCTGGTTGTACCTGTTGAATGGCGACAAGTGCCTATTGATGCCGACCCTCTCGAAAGCAATGCCACAGTCACTCCACTCGTTTTATGTATACAGTTTACCTTCTTTATTACCTTCGCCCGCAACAGTTTACAGTTTCCATTATCCGAAAATTATTATTCACTGAATATCCGTAAATCTTTGTCTGGTTCGAAAGTCAGTTCTTTCAATTGACTGCGTAGAATTGATACAACGAGTTGAATTAGAATTTTTGCACAGGTACATCGATTTTATGATTGATTTTCCTTGCATTTGAAAACGTGATCAGGATCTTCGACCACGTTTACTTATAGAGCTTAAGGATGTATTGGCTATACAGTTAATCCCAAAAGTTTATGTACTTTAGAAAAACGCATTTCCTGTAATTAAAAAGACATCAAACGTCGGAAGAATAATGCTAATAGTAAATAGCTACGTGCTAAAAAGTATAGAAGGAAATATCTAATTAATTATTGACACTGGCGAAA